TCTGGCAACGTGGCGTGTGAGACAGTAGCCGAAACGAGCGTGATCTGAGCGGGAGCAATCACTTTCAACTTCAACTCGGTCGCCGCTCCGCGCCGGGCCCGCGGGGCACGGCACGGCTCCGCACGCCCAAGAAAACGTAAGTGAATGCCTCGAAACAACGCTCGTTAATCCTTAATTGATTCGGCTCTCCAGCTCGCTCCGGCCGCCCAAAATATACTCCTAAAACCGGGCGCTACGCCCCCCCCCCCCCCCCNGGGGAACTCGTGGGCACCGCTCCTCCTCGTATTTCATCTCCGGGTAGATTTAATTTGACGGAGACGGATTACTTCTCGGAGAAAAATTGGTGGGTCTTGGTTGTGGCCGAGACGCCGATGATACATGAAACCTTCCTTGCAAAAGCACAGGACATAGAGAGAAATTTCAACGCAAAAACTGTATAATTTCAACACAAAAGTTCCGGGGTCAGAGGTTGAACGTTCCGGGTGCCGGAGCCGTAGATTCGATTGCTCCGGGTGCTGTGCCCAGAACTTTCGGCCTCTGTGCCCGGAACGCAGATGGTATGTCTATACAGCGCGTGAGTACGGCTTCCACGGTTTTTTTTTTTCAGAAGATGGGAAGTATAACACAAAATAGTCCTAGCCATCGATTGACGATTTCAAGAGAAAATGCCAGCTAGTTTTCTTTAAGAAATTTAATAAAAAACGAGTGGTGCATGAGTGTCAACTAGTCATATCCAATTTTGAGCGCTTGGTTGCGCATACACCACGCTGCAGCACAGATAAAACACAACATTTGAAAGAAGAAATTAAAGTGTTTTGGAAATCATTAAGTTTGACACAGAACCACGTTAGTACATATAAAACACACATAGTATTTTCCTTTTATACATATTTTCTTTAACAGGAATTTAAATGAGAATAATACACGCAAAATGTGCAAACATTCCAGAATCATGAGTTGAAACACGCTGACTCCGCGAGTTTAAATACTAGAGCCTAACACAGAGCGGAGCGGCGTGCTGCCAGCGCGACTGGCGCCTACAAACCTAAGGTGATACTTCACGCATTGCGCAATGCGTGAAGTATCGCCTTAGGTTTGTAGGCGCCAGCGCGCTTTTTGCGCTGGCAGCACGCCGCGCCGCTCCTCTCCGTGTTAGGATCAGTTAGCTGGTTATTTCCAGTGACAACCTCAAGGATCGATCCTCTACCATAGCTTCATTTCACGTGGCGAAATATCGATAACCGGGGACTCATAAGAGGAATACATTTTTTCAGTCTCTCCATTGTTTTCTAGGCTTAATTCACTGCAAACTATACCAAAATCAACACACAATTTGTGTTGGATTGTGTTGCACTCCTTATATTAATCAAAAGTAACACTAGAACACAAAGAGGGATCAGTTTTGATCAGTGTGGTACATTACACCAGTGACCGTCTGAACCAGTTTCAAGCCACACTGTGGAGGTTATTTACATTCCTGTTTCATTTTCGCTGTGGACGTGGAACGCGATTGATACAACGAAAATTATTGAAAGTAACTACTAAGCAGCAACTATGTTTTCCGATGCAATACAAAATCCCTGCTCACAAGAAAAACTTGAGTCGAGTTGAGCATACGAAACATTGAGCAAACGGTTCAGCTGTTGCACATTGTTTACGCTTTGGAACTTTGAACAACATGACGACGGGAAACGGGGAAACGTGACGCTTAATAAAGCGAGCACAGTGCCGCACACGCAATGCGTGAAGTATCCATGCAGTCTTGCAGGCACTAACAGCGCGCGCCGTGGAGTATGCGCAGTGCGTGAAGTATTCATGCAGTCTTACAGGCACTAACATGCGTTTCGTACTGGCCGGCCGAAAAATCTTCAGATTGATTGATACAGTGACCCACTGACCATTTCCTTTTCAATTAATGGTCTATCTCCTTGAACGAAGGGCAACCCGAATATCGGGTCAAAAGGTTTAGGTTCTTTAAGTTTCCACCCAGTTTCCAAGCCACAAAGCGTGGATTGACGTGAGTAATTAAACTGAAGTCATCGATTGCCGACCGTTACAGAATATTCGGTCATTCAAAATTATGGTCGAATCAGCTCCATTTTAAGAGGAAAATTCGACATCGTCGGGTGTGCATCGTGGTTGAATCGTGAACGTAATCGGTCGAAAGAAAGTCGGCGTCAATTGACGGCCGATTATCCTCGCAGCTGCCGCACTGTGGATCTAGCCAATAGGAGAGGTCGGACAAAATTTGGAAACTTTAAACGCTTATAACTCCGTTTCTACAAAACTTAGAGGTTCTAAAAGTGATTTCATTGGTTTTCTCGTAAAATTTTCGTCCAGAATTGCCCCTTGAAGTTTAAAATGTGACGAAATATACATCCAAATTTGCAGTTCTAGTCGAAAATTGCATGTCCGACCTCTCTCATTGACTCGATCCACCGTGCGCTGTGTGTTGCGATTGAGAGTAACTCCTTCGATCTTGACAGCGCGTCAGTCTGCTCGAGATTCGAAAGACGTGGGTAAGTGGTGCTCAGTTTGTGGCAGATACACAACTGTGTTGGGGAAGAAGACAGTTTGGGCAACATAACAGTATTTTAAAAAGGCTGTAACATAGGCTAACATGTCAGTCGTGAAAATTGCTGACTTTAAAGTATACTGACACAGCTGAGAGGAAGAAGTTGCAACTCACCCATGTACAGTCTTGCGATGCAAATAAAGGTCCCTTCTCTGAAAAAGGATTGAAAAAAAAAAAAAAAAAAAAAAAAAAAAAAAAAACTTGTTTCTGCAAGTGCTGTATTCTTCCATGGCATGGCAGAAGTAGTATGATGTCAGCTCAGTCTGTAACAGGGGAGTAACATGTGTCTAGTGAGGGCAAAATGTTCACATTGAAGTGGCCTGTAACACATAATGGAATATGCGATAATTCATTGAAAAGGACTGATTTTTCTTTTTTAACATTAATTTACCAATATTTCGGTCACGGGGAAGGGAATGGTTTTTTTTTTTTTTTTTTTTTTTTTTTTTTTTTTTGCTCCCCTCAAAATTAAATTATTACTTTTCCTGCTCGCAATATTAAAATCTTCAAAAGTTTGGATGAAAAACTCGAAAAGTCTAAGAGCTTTAAAATTAAACATATTTTCGGTTAAGAAATATTAACATCTTCGGATTATGAAACAATTAAAGGTTCGTTACCAGAAGAAACTCTTAACTTCTGTAAATAATTATATGATTTAAAGGGGTAAACATCCTGGTTTTTGACCTCTTGATGGACAACATCCACTAATTTCTCTTAAGAATAGTAAGATACATTTGTGTGCTATTGGGGAAAACTTTCACATTCCTTAAAGTTGCTTTCTACATATATACTTACGATATAACTTTAAAATGCGAATCTCATTCACGGTATCTTAAAATCCCCGCTCCTATTTTTTTATTTTATCAACGAAGAACGAAGCAATAATATTGCTTGAAATTTTCTCAGGTGCTCTATTCCCGGAGAAGAACAATTAGGAGGGTTTTCAAAAAATGATGTCGAGTATTTTTCTATGTTGAAAATAAATGATGACAGAAAGTCTGTAGCGTCGGAAACCGATTTGTCGATTGCATGTATCAAAAATTTCAAGTTGTATAAATCTACAGTTCGAATTGTAATTTTGGGTTCATCTTGTGCCACAGTTTTGTAATATTATTATTTTTAATAATGGCTCAAAAACTTAAATTCGTTCCTTGAAGCAGTACATGTCTCTTTTCTTTAAGCCACCACAAATAAGACTGAAAAGGTTATTTACGCTCTTTCGTATGAGAAGATTGAAGAACTCATCTTATTTTGCGACCAGATCATGCGTCGCACAGCAGAGTAAAATTGAGATGATCTCGTTGAGAACCACTGGGTGCCCTAGTGACTGACTGGTAAACGAATGCGTGCATCTTCCACCCATGAATACAAAGCAAGTTATCTTGGACAAAAAAATCAAGTTGAATATCATAAATCAGGAAGTGTCTTTATGTTTACAATGCAATGCGTGAATTTAGCAAACAATTCTTCGGATTTGTGCCCGATAAGCTTTAGTAAATCACTTAATCGACGTGGTATACTTTCTCAAAAGAACTCTGAGGAAGGCAGATGGACGGGTTTTATAACACCCTCCCCCCCCCCCATTAAGAGTTCATTCAGAATGGATGTGCGCTGCTGAAACAGAATATTGTTTGATTTTAAGAACACATAGTATGAACAGTGAAGAGCATAATAAAACTCATGTTTAAATTAACTAATTTAGATCTTCTGCCTACTAAAATAATCAAGTTGCTATTAGTTTAGTCGGTCGCAGAAAGAAACATGAAGCCTCATCTGCCTCCTGTTATATACAATTTTCTATTATACATAATGCTTTGAGGTATAAGGTAATCATATACTGCGTGAGGAAGAATTAGGGCTTTTGCGAAACTAGCCTGTAACTATGGATCCTACCGAAATAATATCAATAGGCGGTTTGACTTTGTTAGACTTGATTTGTTTGGCGAAGAGAATGTTTTGAATCGATACACATCGGGCAGTACATTTCATTTATCACAGATCAGTTTGATTTTGAAACAGGGTCAATATTCCCATCTTATTCTAAGTAAAACTTTGACGAGGACAAATAAATAGGGCAAAACGGCATGGGATAGGGGAAGATGACTGTGAATCCTGTAATCATGAATTGTATTTTACTGACGTAAATATATATTATTTGCTTTATTTTTTTTGAAATTGAACTTTTATTTCAAGCATCACAACTTCCATCGGCTGAACATATATTTTTTTCCCGAGGTAGATCTTGTTCCATTGTGATATATCTAGGCAATTTCAACATTTGAAGTAAAAAACATAAAGTGCCGTCTGTTAATTCCAGAGTTATGGTGTTAATTTGAAAGAGGTAACTAAATTCAATTTTACAAATGTATATTTTTTTTTAAATAAATTACAATCTAAAAAAATGTAATCATGCTTAATGTTGCAGATGTTTCTCGACCTCACTCCGGAGAATGGTCGAAGATGTGATTAGTCAAGGAGCATCCTTATTCGTCCAATGGTGAGGCACTATCGTTTCCGATACCGTTGATCCTCTGAAGACGACCTGAGCTTTTTTATCTATGGGACGATTAAAAACCATCCACAAGAGTGCAGAATTATGATACTCAATTGAGCGCTGGTACGTAATATAATCCTTCTCATTCAAATTGTACTTTCCTTTCTCTAAGCTTTACCCTCTTTAAGCATGAAATTCTGAATTATTTGCTGACCAGAGAAATGACTGATTGAGCACAATGAAAAATTATTCATGATCAAATCATGAAAATACAGAGGTTTTGGTGATTTCTTACTTCCAGGATAAATGAGAGAATCAGCTGGAATCAACATAAAACCACGTCCCGTTAAAACAGTAAAATTAGCTATCTCACTGCAGTGAGATTTACCATACTTAGAGAAAATGTCTGGGAGTTCGGTTAACTCCCAATGAAATTTTTCATAAGTGTGGCAAATACCATAGCAGAGTCTACGGTTGATTTACATATCGACGGTGAAACTACCAAACCACGTATCTCGTTTGCGGTGTTTAAAAATCTACGCTCACATTTTATTTTTTTGAAGTAGACCAAATCAATAACATTCCTTGAAATTTTCACGGAATTTTCTCCGCACAAAGAGGAAAAATCACAGAAATTTTCAAGACTGGATGTTAAGTAGTTTTTCATTTAAAAAATAAAGTATGACAGGAAGTCTGCGACGTCGCAAACCGAGATACGTGGTTTGGTAGTTTTACCGTCGATATCCGCCTTGCTGCACCAGCCTACAGTGAAGCAAGAATGATCGATTATCAATCTACTCCCGTTTGAAGCTATGGTAAAGAATCGATTAACAGGGTGTTCGCAAGAAACACCTTAATAATATATTTTTTACCATACCTTCTAATAGGGAAATATCGATAATCGATTATTCACGCTTCGTCACAGGCTGATGCAAAAATACGGGTGATTTCTACATTCAGTTTAAATATGTTCGCATAAGGTCGCATATTCTTAGTGACTTAAACTAGGGAGTTTTATCACTCTGTCGGATGCCATGATTACTTGGTGACTTACATTTTTGTTATGGTCAGATCTTTTGTTCATATTTTTTCTGTGTTTACACAATGGCCATTTCGAGTATTCAATAACTCATCTTCAGTAGTAAAAATTTTTCGCGATCATTCCGCACTTCAAACGACTTAACAAACAGACAAGACGGCGACTTAAACGCTGAAGAGGAAAGGAAGACAACTACTTAGAAAGTTCATGGCATCAACATACGATTTATAAGATTTGCAACCAACCCTCTTGGGTAACAGACTTCCGTCTGATTGTAAATTCATCCCAAGAACTAATAAATTCTACGAAAACTGTGCGTTTGGACAATATGCGGAGTCCGCACCAATCGCGAAACATGACAACTTGGTTCCGATTTAGAAACATCATGCTTACAGTGTGTCAGCGCTCAGCTTTCGACAGTCGGGCACAAGTTGGAAGATAGATCGTATGATCGGATTTCAAATCGATCCGACATGAACTGACATTTGACTCAGCCCGAGCAAATGGTACACTCACTTTATCCATTGATTTCTCCGACTTCAATCTGTAATTCAGAGACTGCGAAATAAAGAATAATGATGGAAACCTATGCAGTGCCGTGCTGGAGTGCATACTCATGGGCAAATACCTCAGCGAAATGTCCAAATGTTAAGTTTCAGTGCTGCCAAATTTCAGCATTAGTTTCACCATGAAGCTGTTGTAGGATTTATCATTTTACATTTTTAAGAATTGAATGACAGAGAAGAAGGGGTGGTATTTTGAATGGTTAAAGAGTTGTCACTTGGTAGTTAAATTTCATCTATCGTACTAGGAAAATTCAACGAAAAACAAACATTTGCAATCATAAATTCATTATCAGTGTGCTACTATTAAATAGAATGTATCAAAAATAAAAAATAAAAAAAATCGTGATCGCTTCTTGAATAAGGCAAATCTTAATCATAATAAATTGATTAAAGCTGAAAACGATAGCATATCAGCTACTTTTTTTCACTTTTTTTTATAAGATCGTAAAGAGTAGGACAAATTTCTTGCTCTTGAAATATCATTTTCGTCTTAATGTGTTTGAGCGATTCCGTCACCTCCATAAATGAGCGTTAGCTTTTCGTAGTGGTATTCTTTCTGAAAAATTCAAGAGGAAATAGAGTATATAACTTAACGTTAAAATAGATTCTAAGTGCAGTTTTTGAAAAAATTGAGATAATAAGGATTTCAAGTAAAACTAATCTTAATGCATATTCTGAGAAAAATCTGCTCCCAAATTCCAATTTTTAAGCATCAAAATGTCAGTTTGAACTTTCTCACCGCCATAAGGATCCATAAAATGTCGAAACTTTAAAAACGGTTTTCTCGAGATATAGCAAAAACTGCACTCATGCGCCGTGTCCTTCAAGCCCCCCTCAGCAGAAGTAGTCAAAAAAGAATGCAATTCAAAAAAAGCCACACAATTTTTTTTTGTGGGAAAACAAAATATCTGCAGAAACTAAGCAAATATCGCAGTTACCATTCACCCTCTCGCCCTCATCTTTTGAAATTTTGCGTATTGTAAGCTTTATAAAGCGCTGTTTCAACGAGTTTTCAAGTGCGTATTGTGTAAAAACGTGGCAACGTGGGTAGGAGGCGTCGCGACGCGCTGAAGATGGATGGTCAAAACCGGAATCACGAGTGCACACCGATCACCGATCAAGGATCACCAATCACCGAGTGCTATAGTTTATTCATCGCCGGCAAAGGAATCGGATTTTCTTGATCGAAACGAAAGGGCGACGTGCTTTCCAACGTTGCCGCTCAAAAATAAGATCCATATTTTTAATATCCATCCTATTTAACTTTGCTTTTCATTATCGAAAACAAATTCGGAAAGATGAAAAATTATCCCGTGAAAGCACTGAAAAAAAGTTACGGGCGACATGGACATACTGTCCGTTCCGGGCTCAGAAGCCGAAACTTCCGGGTGCTGGAGCCGTAGCTTTGATTGCTTCGGGTGCCCCGCCCGGATGTTTCGGCCTTTGAGCCTGGAACACGGACGGTACGTCTTTATAGCCCGTAAGTACGGCTTCCACAGCCGGAGTTTTTTTTTCAGTTAGGGGAGTTTTGCAGAAAATTGAATTTATATAAATGAACAATTCTCTAGATTTCCTACTATATTTTTAAAATTACAAAATATTTTACAAAATCCTTCAAAAAGTAAGTTCCAGTGCTGTATCTCATTTTAAAACCCATTAAAAGTGCAACTCCTCAAATTTCTGCAGGGTATAAATTTATGATTTGATGGTCAGATTTTGATGCAGATTGCCTTGCTGTACAGTGTTTAATGTTCCAATCGTCACTAACGTATCTATGACATTTCTAGTTATCTGGATTCTTAATTATATATAATTCCTTGGAAAGCTGGTAACTGGCACTAGATTTCCGTCAGTTTTAATCATACATCTGCTTAGGTTAACCAGCCGCGCTATAGGTCCTGACAAATTTCCATGGCTAGCTTCTAAGTTTCCTGAAAATCATGTTCACCCGGAATCTTGTAACTACTGGCATTTTCCCGCTGTGTAAGAATGGCTCCAAAATATAGTGGCAACATTTTATAATCTTCTCGGTACAAAAGTTATTAAACATGCCCATTTTTTAGCTCATTTTATGTACTCGGCACCATCAGAGGTGACGTCGGACGGTCATTATTCCGACGCGATCACTTCCTGCATTTTCTCTTCGGTGAGTATTGTCTTTGCAGTAGATGAGAATAAAACTATTTTCACGAGATGAAGGATAAAAGTAAGGAGCAGTGCAGAGGGGATTGGCGGCTGGTCTTAGGTGGCCACTTGGCGAGCTGGCGCTGGTATTGGCATGCAACTTATAGATGTACTTGCATTTTGGCCTATATTTGCCAAACCGGATATTCCCCCTAGTCAAAAACTATTTCTGCGCAACGTGTTCCGCGTCGCCCCAACGGTTGCCGCTCGAACTCCTGCCGTTCGGTGTCTTGTTGCAGCCCCCCCTCCACCCGCCCCTTGTATAGCCCCCTTCGGCGCCCTCTCACTTTTTTCGCCCTGCCCTCCCCCCCTTTCGCACTCTCAGTCTCAAATTTATGACCGGCCATTAAGAGGCTAGAAAATTATAACAGTGTGTATTTAATTGACGTAAGGAGTTCATTTATGCCAATTCCAGCGGTTTTTCAGTCATCCTGCTAGCCTTCCATCCGCGTTGTCATATTTTGAGATTAAATTCTCCACTTGTGAAGAAATATTTCTGATTGGAAGACATTTTCAAACGCTCCTAGTAACTTCCTCGATTTGAAACCCCTTCAACTAGGAATTTCGATGCACATTAGGAAAATATTACGAAGAATTCAATTTTAATATTTATCTCAAATAGCAAGGTTTTGAGGAAAAACTAAGGTACTCCTCCCTGAGAGAAAAGAAAGAAAGAAAATACAGTTTTTATGTGATATTAAAATTTTGCAACTTTAATTACACTTTGTAAAATCGGGTAGTCCCGCATTGCGAGATATTACAAACTTTGGCGAAAAAAGGAAAATTTATTACATACCGTCATTTTAATTTTATCAAAAACACAGGAATGCCTATTTGTCAAAGCCAATGTTGCATTTTCGTTAGTATCACTGATATCACTCCGACAGGTACTCGCAGCCATTAGAGCTTCTTTTGGGGGCCGATATTTCCTTAAATGGACTTAACGAATAACGAAGCTAAAAAACTATGTGCATTTGTTTTGCCTGCAACATAGTACCTTTTAGCATAAATACATCCAAACGACGAAAAACTCGCTTGCATGTTCGTCTGGATTTAATTTTCAAGAAAGTCCGAGGGATCAGGGTGGCATTAAACGTAAGAAGGAAATTAAAGATTGGAAATTTCAGTGAAATATTTCATGAAATTTCAAGAGGCTGTGAACTATTTCATATTCTTCAGGGGCTAGAGTATGCAACCCGCACTAAAACACACAAAAATAGAAGACGGTCACAATTTTTATATTTTGCGAGACATGAAAGAGAACCGATATTTTTCCATATCTTTCATAAAATTCTGATATTTTAGAAATATTTCACATGAAATTTCAAGATTTT